ACCCTGTACACATACCGTATCTTAACTTCACTACTGCTTTGAATGCAAGGACACTATGTACAACTATGCAAGCCAGGCCGGGTAAAGGAAAAGTTAAGAGTGAGGTCTCCTCCACAGCGCTACTTTCATTCCAAGGATTAGAATCTGAATCATTGGTGGCTGAAGTGGACACGGTACAGGCCTACATAAGTATTTAACGACATTTTTGGTGCTATTCAACTATACAGAGCTACACGTACACTGGAGCGTGAAATTGAAGTCGGGCTTCAGCCAAATGTTTTCCAACCACTTTTAAACTGTCCAAGTGTGTTCTGTGATGATCGACCTTGACATATGTCCAATCAAAGGCTGATTTTAGCAAAGTGAAAATAAACTCTTTTGGCCTAATTTCACACACTGATACACTGTCAAAAACAAAGATACAAAACCAATGAAACATTCAATCTAAGGAAATGTTTACAACAGATGAAACAAACAATGTGGAATAAATAAAGTTGACAAGAATTCTAAAATTTCCGACAATCCAAAGATACAAACGGGCACATGTATTCTGAATAAAGGCCACAGGCATTTATATTTACAGGACCCTAACCCGTTCCTGTAGGCTTACAGGTACATGTACCTACGTGTTGGCATAAAACACCCACGCCCACACATTCGGATGCTAAAAATATATAACACAACAAGCTTCAAATCCCCATTGTGTCTCTTGAGCACACCATCACACTTACTGTTAGCTTTAATTCTCAGACCTTCTGTGATCCATCACTTAAGGGCAGCAATGGGTAGTTTAAAACCATCTGTGAACAATTTGTGTCTGCTGATCATGAACAAACGCCTATGAGCTATTACGTTTTGGTGTCATTTCACCCCCAAAACTAAACTTTCAAAATCAAGTAGTTATTCTCTTCAATGACCTCCCCCATAAAATACTTGATTACATGAACTTTAATTTCTGAATATCTTGCTTTCAAAATGAACTGAAAATATATTTAAAATGAGTGAAAAACAAGAGTTTTCAAAGAATTTTTTCATTTTTTGAGTGCAAAGTGAGGAAAAATGCCTGTGCTTGGAGAATAATAAACATTAGATATTAGAAACACATCAAGAAGGTCGAGAAAAAACAAGCAGCATTCTGTATGCAACCTTTACATAGGTCACTTAATTCAAGTTTTCCGGTTGATCACTTCACAATCCATCTGGTGGTAACTCAATATTCATCCTGTGAAGCGTTGGATAATAAGCCACATACATGTGCATGAGCTAAACTACCCGGAATTTGATTCAAAATTATATGTACATTGCAATTGATGCACCAGGAAGTAAATCTGTTCTATCACGTACGTACCAATTCAGTATGTACATGTACGTGCATACATTGGAGCAAAGACTTCACCTGGATTGGGAAAGTTGAAGTCAGATGGAATTTCCATCATCTGTAAAACCTGCCAGAAAGACACAGTTTCCTTGTAAAGGTTTTATCTTTTTGTTTTTTTTCTCAATGTTTTTGGAAATCTACTGCACTATAAGACGAACTAAACAGAACTACAAATATTAACCTCATTTGCAAATAACAGCAGCTCTTGAGGCTTCAGTTCTCACTAAAAAAAATCACACTCACAACAGAAGCATTCCATGTTCTAACCAAATCAAAACAGTTTCCAAGTTCTGGTTTCAAATGAATTCATTTCTCAGAAGCTGGAAGGACTTGTAGGGATGTAGCAAGAATCTCTTCCATTGTGCGAGTCAAAATAAAATACACGTAATAATAAAAGTTGTGGAAAAGAATATGAGAAGATAAAGGTTAGGGCAAACACTTAAATAGAATTTGCTGCCATCATTTTCAAGATAATTTATGAAAAAAAAGAATTGTAGTGTTTTAAAAAGTAAATTAGAAATAGATAGATTGACATTAACAATCTTCGTCTATTAAAGCACAGGTCAATATACGGAGATCCCTTGAACTTATCATGTGAAATTTGCCGAGTGCTGAAAAGTTGACGTTAGAGTTGGTTGTTAACTGTGATTAAACAATGAACTTGTATTTTCAGACTTTGTGGCAACAACTACTTGCATGCATCTACATGTACGAGTGTAAATTTATGAAAAACATGATCATGCTTCAATGCAAATGCAGGCAATGCAACAAGTCAAGAGGGGGTACTTGTCACTTAGCAACAAAGTTGACCGAAACCCTTAACACCTTTCATGGAATCTTCTTTCCTTATATTTTAAACCTTTGACCTTCAGAATGTCAGTGGATAGGCCTACAGATCGGTCCGAAGTACAACATATCACCACTTTGCACCAGAGTACACATCATTCCACAACTTGAAGTCTAGCAATAAGGCAGACTTCAACTTCCACAACTTGGACTTCTAGACCACTGAACATTGCCCGTTGTATTCAAGTTGTATTCAAGTTGTAGTTTACTTTCGGATTCCCCTTGGAAGAACATGTGCACTCTGGGTGCCCCCACTCCCAGTATTTGTGGAATTTGGCTGGTAAAGGATGGTGCATTTGGCTGGTTCAAATTGGTTATTTGGGGCCCAAAATAGCATCATCAACAAATGGCTAAAGTAGCCTATGGCATGGATTGCAGAGAGTGCTGAAATCATGGGGGAACTAACCAACCAACACTGGCAGTGGAAGGGGGGGGGGTTGGGGGCCAGGAGGGGCAGGCAGGGTCCCCTTCCACTTTAATCAAAGGGGTGATGACCCCCCAACTCTTGGCAGACAATGGGACAGGGCTTAATGGATACCAATGGTCTCACAACTGCTCATCTCTCCCCATTTTGAAAACATTCTAGAAAGAGTTCCATACATGACACCCTATGCACAAAACCTATGAGACTTGGTAAGTGTACATATTTTCCCTTCTAAATTGAAGTTTTCTGGACATGGTTTTGCTTCCGGAAGGCTAAAAGGTCACTGTAGTCCATCACTATATTGTCAACAAAGTTTCTTTCACTTTGCAGTGGAATGTAAGTAGGTTAACTTATAGGTTACAATATCCTTTGCAAACTTACCCAGTAAATTCTTATTAAAACCAAACTACGGGTAGTTTGGTTTTCAGTTGCCTCAACTCATGCTCTCTCGTGATATAAGTTTTGTTTATTTATAGTGTCCACTAGTGGTACTAGTGGGAAAAATGTATACTAATTTTCGCTGCAGTGACCTATTAGTTATTTGAAAGCAATGAAGTGCCCCCAAAAGTCAAATTCAGCAGATGAAATACTGGGAAATTCAATTGGAAAACACACAAAAGATGCACCGGAATTCAATCAGAAAATAAACAAAAAGTAAACTGGTTTGTCTAAACTTTCTTTACAATGTCCATACTCACGTTTTTGAATGCTCTTTTTCTTGATATTAACCGGCTCTGCTTCAACGACAGTTTCGAAACTCCGCATACGGATATTATACACCGAAGACTTCGGTTTGGGAGACAACGGCTTCGATTTGGAAGAAAACGACTTGGAAGACAAGGAAGGTTTGGAAGGCAAGGCTGGCTTAGCAGGTAACCTTGGCTTTGAACCAAGGCCCTTAATAGGAGCTTGCGGAATCGTTGAAGCAGATGCTGCATTTTTGAACATAACATGAGGTTGGTTTTGCAAATTCGTGGCAATGTGGGGCTTGTCTCCACTTTTATCATGTTTACCAACAGCAGAATCCCTTGCTTCCAGCGAAAACACCTTCTGTTTTACAGCACAGGACTCAGATGCTCGCCCAGGAATAGGTGGAATAGGCCTTCCTCCAGCAGCTTGATCGAAGGGCCGTGCAGGGGGCTTAACCGACTTGAAGGAGCCGACGTGACGACTGTATCGCTGAGGCGAGAGAGTAGACCCGCTTCTTGTCCTAGTCTGTGGGATTGGGGCGATATCTCCCTCAAATTTTTGTTTCAAGAGATTCACACTTTCGGTCTTCTCTGGGAGTGACGATGAGGCCATGATTTACACTTGGCTGAAGTGGAAGGAGAACTGGTCAGCATCGTTTATTTCTTGTTCTGTTTCCTTGCTGTAACGTTGTTTTGAACAACTTCCCGGGAAAAGTATGAGTGTTGGAATTACCCATCAACTTTTGACACCTCATCTCACGGAACTTTAACGCCCGGCCGGCCGTAGCCGTACCCCACGCAAACGCGGAAGTATGAAGCAGCACGTCATTATTAAACGCTTGAACACCGTCGGCCAGGAGATCTGAAGTCATGTTTCTGTACTAGAATTTTCAAGTTTGCCTGCTTTGATATTAAGCCTACAAAAGGCCGAAAAATCGTTTTTGTCTTCTTTCTGTCCTTTTTCTTTAATTATAAATTACTCGCGACTTTAAACAGGATTATATAAAGGCAGTATCAAGAAAAACAGAAAAAATGCAACCTCATCTCAAAAAGACTTGAAAATCAACATCTATTTTGAAACTGATTTTCAATCAATATTGTGCCTTCTTAAAACAGCTTAAAAGTGGAAGTATTAAAATGTCGAAAAACACTAATTTGTTTTTCTTTCCAATTCTGAAAAAAAAAACAATAAAGTTACTCTTGTTGCTTTATTCCCTGACCTGCATCCTAATTCGAAACAAGAGAAACATAACAGAACAACATTCCAGAATGGTATTCCTAGGACAAAATCAACTTGTAATTTTGAAGTTGAGTAGTTTCTATGCTTGACCTTAGGTCAGGCTTTATCAGTTACCAATGACAAGGGGATCTCCGTTTCATTCAAAAAGTCACGTTTCACTATTGACCCAAAATTTATTTGACTCCACAATTGCTGCCCAGCAAATTATTTTCTACAAATCGCACCCCTGGCAAATGTCCAGTTGTGTGAATTACGTACTACCGTGTATGTCATCAAATATTTTTTTTCCATTCCAGCGAATGAGCAGATTACTATCGCAGTCACGGTTGAAAATATTAACAGAAACGTTACATTTTTCATACAAAGCCATAGCACAGTCGAAGCGCAAACTTTTTTTTTTTTAGATTTCTGTTCAAGCAAGAGAGGGCGTCATCCACAACAAACGTCCAGCCGGCCGCTCGACGCGTGCAGTATGCAGTTTCATGCTGTCGCAACTCGCGTAATCTAACACTACATATATGCCATGGAACCAAATGAAATATCGATAGGCCTAGATAAATATCTGACAGAGTAAACATGCTCCAGCGAGGTTTTGTGGTTGCAATGGCTGCTTTCCGGTGTCCACCTGAAGTTCTTCTTCGATCAGCTGCTAGGTAAATCATCCAATCCAAAATAAGTCTTTAACTGAAAGTAACGCTGTTGGCGCTACCGAAGACATGTCTAGCTCCACGCCCCAAACTAAACCCTAAGTCGGTGCGTGGTTGGTGTGATGTTTCCCGATACTAGTGATACATGTACAATTCATCACTCCACCAATGGCGCAGAAATACTCTCAAACATAGAGATTACGTGACAGGGAGAGGTTGTGTCCAGTTGTGGTAAACCGTCCACAATCCAATTAAAGCCCTAGGGCCTAGTCTTGTGCAGGTACCGGTATGTGTACAATGTAGGCCTTAAACTAGACCCTTTCCATTTGGAACAGTTTTACTGGAAAGTTCTAGGCCTTAAGCTATTCAACAAGTTCAATTCTAAATGAACCTCGGAGTCAGCAAGTCAGACCTTGATTTGTCATGTGGGTAACTTCAGCCCAACGTTTTCCCAATGTCATGAGCATTAGGGCTGGAGTTACTCAAGCCACATTTACAATGTACGTGTAGGGTAAGGAAAGCAAGAAATCTGACCAGCTGTGTAGCTTTTTGTATGCAGTTGGTCGAATTCTCCTCCTGATAGAAAATTCCTACTCTTACCCTACATGTGGATTCCGTTTACACGATGTGCTACTTACAGTGGGTAGGTGATTACTGTAAGATTCAGCCAGGCATCGATCTAAGAAAATTGATCCCTAATTTAGGGAGTTAAGTTGGTGTAGTGAATTTTTCCTTGCCTTCCACCTCTGCTGCCTGGGTTTAACCCTAACACTCCTCAATCCTTCACCTGTTGGAGGACTGAGGAGTATTAGGTTTTATTCCCAGCTTGGCCCACATGTGAACATAAATTACAAAAAAATGAAATATCCTGCAATTTAATGTACATGATGTAGGATTTCATTTGAAACCATAAAAAAGATGATCAACTATGATGATATACATGTACATACGGTATGTACTCTTTGGAGAAGAAAAACTCCAAAATGCCCATGACAGGTATTGAACTCGATTCTTGAGCCATGTGCCATTACCACTTTGCCATGTGCTCAAACGGTCATGAAGGGTGACTTTTATTTTGTATTATGTCGGTTCCATGGAGGTATTTTTTTATAGTAAATTAAAATGCACGTACTGTACATGCTAGAAAAACTATGCACTTCATTTTACATGTAATTCTCTTTTTTTTTCGTGCTTACACATGAAGGTTTTAAAAATTGTCTATTCTAATTGTAGATCTACCAGTGCCAATTGACCTTCAAGAAAAAAGACTAAATAGTTTCAGAAACCTGCACATTCTGTTTTCCTTTTGCTTGAATAACATTGTAATGAACATTTACCTAGGTATCAATAGCTTGCATACGTGTACAAGATACTGATACCTAGGTAATTGTACAATTCCTCGGTTCCTATAAATACCATAAATACACTTCATGAAACATCACCTGTGTTTTTTTTTCTTTGAATTAATGAATGGCTTATGTCTACAAGCAACTGTACATCATTTGTCTGAAGACTTGACCTGTTAAAACAAACGAATGACATCCTTTTTGATATGATGGCAGGTTATCAATTGACAAAAATAACTGGCAGCATGTTTTGCAGTGTCCATTTTCCTGGTAATGCATATAGACATCTGTCATGGCTCTACCTGCTTCAGCCTCCTATTGTGATTCATTTATAAGGCCATCATGCTCTGCTTCCATTTTTGTCTGTCTTGTACACATCCCCAAATCCACCATCCACCTTTTGCTTTCTTTCCTTTTCTACTGTCCTTCTCTAAATTGTTTGTGGTCTGTGGACCCTTTTTTCGCCTTCTGGTCATGATGTCAGGCAATCAGGCAGTGATAGGTGTGCGATGAAAGATCTTCGTTCAACTTGGTTATTTTCAAATTTACCAAATTTATCACGTGGTACATGTGTGCTGGTAATTGTGTACACAGATTGTATGCAGTCTTTTTTTATCCTAACACAGGTACATTTATGTACTCGCTGTCTACTCTGCAAGAAGTGTAGGCCTACCATGTACATCTACCGGTGCTTTAACTGTCTTTTGTTAACCCTTAGCAATTTCATAGAGCTGCTTAAGCACAAAATATGCTTAAGCGTGAAAAAACTTTGCTCGATAAATCAGTTAACCAGCCAAAATTCCATGTGATGTATATTGTTTTTGGATTGTATTTAACTGTTTTTTAGTTAGCATGACAATCAGATAGAGTTTGAGCTGGTAACCTTTGTTTATTAAGCATAATTTTTCCCGCTTAAGCAAATTTTGTGCTTAAGCAGCTCTATGAAATTTTGCACCACTGGCCCAGATCTCAGTGTGTGGTTATACCCTCAACTGTTTGCTGCAATGCTCGACAGTTACTCTTTACACTTCAGTTCTACAAAAGCAACATCTGATCAGAGAATCATAATGGCGTCATGCTCGTCTGTACTTTCTTTACATGTGGTACTTGTACATGTGCATGTACCGCTAATCTTAAATTTGATGGGACTCACTGGTACTCCGTATCAGAGTCCAAAACTTGAGGACTTTCCATCGGTTCTCATTTGTTCACACTGTTATATCTATTGTTTTCCACTTTGGGATGTCCTTGATTGGATTCTTTTTCTCGATTTAAATAGAATTTACCCCGCATGTCCTTGCTGTACCAGTACATATATATACATGTAAACGTGAATATTTACATTGTCCATAGTTGTGCCACCAGACTACTGACAGGTGAATCCTTGTCTAAAGTTAGACTACTGCTTTAAAGTTGAATGGGTAGGCTTCACTCTCAAAGTCTACAAAATGTTGGAGAAAATTCACCCTCGGAAATTGAATTGCCCTACATTTAGACCTCAAACTTAGCACGTTTAATGAGCCTTATTTACCCTAACCCAAGGCTTTTTTGGCTTGGATGCATCTTCATCAGTCCTTAAAAATCTTCCAATTGCCTCTATCAGAAAATTGGATACGAGTGACATCTGCTTCAATTCTTCAAAATTCTCCTGCAATTCCTCTCATTATGTTGAGGCAGTGCAGCTGGTATCCTGGAGCAATATGGAGGATTAAGGCATGGACTATGCATGAAGGGCAGGTTGTAACCTTAGAAAAGGACACAGCAGGCCTACACCCTTCACATACAGCCACATTTTGTGGTCATTTAGCCTCAGTCCTCCAAAATCCTCAAAACTGCCTCTTGGATTTCAGAGACTTTCAGAGAAGGTTTGCTTTAAAGATATTGAAGTGTGTACCTGTTACATATGTAATGCTGAAGCCCCTTTTTGTTAGCACTGACTTCTATGGAAGTACTGGTACATGTACATGTATGTTAATGCGGAACATTTCAGTAGTACCAAAGTGAATACAACGTGTGCATAACTACATGTACACCATGTACATGTGTAAAGGTATCAGCGTGAGAACTATGGTAGCATGTGAACCAACATGCATACCTACGACCTCATTTGTTTGCACAGCACCTATAGGTTCTGTATGATGTCACACTTCGGTAGTCTACAGTGTAACACTGCACAGATTTACGATACATGTACAAATGTACCTCATTTGAGCAGAGTTTGTATACTGATGAAACACCCAGCCACCTGCAAATGTTCTGGTACATACACGTATGTCATTGGACTACATGTACATGTATGTACAGCATCTTGAAGGTAAAATAAGAGAGACACAAGGTTATGAGCACTGGCAGAGCTGAACTTACATGAGGCGAAGAATCCCCGAGGAAGTGTTATTGCCTTCCTTTTCCCGCTGGCAAATAAATCCATGTCAAGAAAGACACTTGAACCTGATGTACGTCAGCTGCCAGTTCATTCCACTGCCATGCAGTCATTTAGCAAGTGTGGCAGGTAGCTTGCTTTCCATCCTAAATCGGGTGGACTTCAGATAAACAACCAGCACTGTGCTTTGTCTAACCATAGCCAATTACTTGTACTTGTTGAAAGAACCACGATTGCACATCATCATGACACTAAAAGCAAGTTTTCTCCAAATATTCCATCATTTGTACCTGCATACACAAGCCGTGAACTTTACATGGACATTTACACAGTTTTTCCAACAGACAGTTCTTCCTGGAGCTTACATGACAGTTGAATGCACCTGTTGGGAGTACGCTGCACCAATTTGGCCACCATGCAATTAACAGGAAAGGGAAATGGAACCTCACAGCAAGAGCTGATATGAAACCGCAGTCTTGTCAAGGTTCACATACAGGATACACGCTCACAGTATACAGCACATATTTAATGTACATGTACGATAACTGTACTTGATAACATTGGAATACTTGACATGACAACAGTATTTTTACAGTTGTGTAACCACAATTAATGCTATTTCCTGTACAGGGTTGGCATTGTATACGGTATTTGCTGTTAAAATTGAAAATTGCTTGTCTCAATGGTTTGTATGAATTCCAAATCCGGCTCATACCAAGGAGATGCCAACACTATGGTGCTGTTTCCCCCCCAACTATAGCATTTGCCCCAACTATAACTAGAACAGTATTTAAGAGTACTGCAGTTGGGCTAGTCCAACTATTGTTGACAAATTTCTCAATTTTCTCCAAGTTCATGCAGCGCACACCTGTCATCAGTCCTCCAAAATATGGTTCTTATTCCATGACATAAATAAGAACTTGTCTCTGCAAACACGAGTTGTTGAAGGAAATACTCTGTACATGTAAAATGACGGTGGCACATGCTGGGCACATGCAAACACTGGACCAACTGGGGACATTTCTCTGTCCTCATAATGTTTGCAGTCCCCACAGGTGAAATGTCATGTATTTGCCTCACTACTACGAAGCAAGAATGTACATGTACCTGTCTTCCTGTGCGAGTCAGTTCGGTATGTTAACAGTCATTTTAAACTCAATCTTTCTTTCATACATAAGCTTATCTTTATCTTTGTTTTTCCTGAGATAAAACCATAGCTTGCAATAGAAGCTTGAGGTAGTTGTTTCAGTTTTCATATTTGTTATGCATAAATAAAGTTT